TACAGCCTTTTGCAAAAATTATGAGAATTGTCGAAATATCTAAATATCATAATATCGAGTGCATGATGGGTAATCCCGAGCGATGCCCTTAGTCCCTTGTCTTTGTAGTTTAGTTTTTTTTTGGCGACAGACTTATCCGTAGTTCTGAACATTTTTTCAATGTCAACAATGAATTATTCTAGCAAACCCGCGTGTTACGGACAATATATGGATATGGATATTATGATATTTAGATATTTAGACAATTCTCATAATTTTTGCAAAAGGCTGTAATGAAAACAAATTGAAATATCCTTAAAATCATTTATTAATGAGATGCCGCCATTTTGATTTTCCCGCGAGCATGGTCTATCACAAATTAGACCATTAGTAGAGTAGCCAATCACAGCGCAGTATGAGTGATAGACCATTAGTATGTTTATACCAAAGTATTTTATTAGTAGTGTTTGTCGCCATTGAATTCAAACCACATAGGCAAATATACTTTGATTATATTGATTACGCATAGAAACCCCGAGATTATTTGCAGACTCAAGACTGTGGTTTGTGTCATAGTGACGACAACGGTTTCGATTTTTTTCCTTGAATTCAGCTTTGAAACCGTTTGATTTCACGCTGAATCCTTCACTATGTACGTCACATTCCGTTATCTCGGACCAATCAGCACGCGAGTTTATTATGTGATATGGGATTCTATAAAAAAATATTGATTCCTGTCAAGCAAAACTTGGAGAAACATTAACAAGGTCTAGAGGAGTATCACTAACTATAAGATATATTCCTATAAGGTTATCAAGACTAAGTTGAAATTTGGTTCGAAGCCGGATTAGGTTTTAAAGCCTGGGACCGCTGATTAGCTACATAAACGTGTAGTGGGGATTGGGATTGGAGTATTTAGAAGAATTAAAACAGTGAGAAAGACAAATGCGAGGAACGGCTTAAGGTCACCCTTGTTTTGATCGAGACTACTCAGTGGTCCTGACTGAGTGAGCGAAACACTGTCCACTACCCACATTAATTCAATGAAAAAATTGTTTTTATCACATTCACTTTATTCTACGCAAGAGCGCTGGACATAGTATTCCTTAAAATGTACTACTAATGAGATATTTAGATCAGTTGATTATATTCTGATCATCATTTAACTTGGTTAAGATTATATCTTTACTTGTCTTGGCAGCCATTTTGTGCTTTTAATTTCTTAAAAAAAAGAGAAAAATGCAATGAGAAGATGAAATAGTGAAACATTGTGATCCGACATTTATATAATTTGTAAATATGAATCTGTTAGTATATGAAATAAATGTACAAAAGAATACCTCATTTGCATCCGTAGAGCTCCATTCTCATCGTAGGGTAGCCATTCCATGTCTTTGGGACGACTTTGATAAACCTCGCTCTGATTGGAGGGTTTAGGTCATGCTTCACAACAGTATTTTGATCAGTGTTTCCTTTGAAGACCTTTCCTGCTTGATAATTCCAGAAGGTGCTGCCATCTAAACTGTACTGCAGTCTGTAGGTTTTCATCCTCTCTGAATTGCACCCTGAACCTTGTGTTGCGATGGCTGTTACAGTGTGAACTGTGCTAAGGTCGACCTTTAACCACGAACCGTGCCTGCCTTTAGCTGTTGGAGCCCAGCCACATTTGTTGAGGTGCAATCTTGCAAGCGATGCACGGTATCTGCTTGAAAAGATCGTAGAGGCGGTAATCTTGGAGTCGGGAATGGCCTTGCTCTGCATTCCGAGAGGTTTGCTTTTTGTGCATTGCTGGACTGTAAACCAAGCAAGATAAACGTATCTTATTTTACTCGTGAAAGTCAACATTATAAACTAACCAAGTCAGTTAATGGCTTTGTGCTGCTGTTGTTCACATCTTTTAAGATGTAATATAATACAAATAATGATGTAAATAATAATGTCAAGTCATCCCACATGAAAAAATGAAAAATAAACAGCTCTTATTGAAGATTGCTAAAATCAGACTGGCTTTGCTATCCATATACAGACTTTATATACAAGATATATTACATAATTCTGTGACACTGATAAATAAAACATCAGTGTTTTTACTGATTCTGATTTTGTTTTGTTTTTTAATTTGCTTATTAAATTTTAAACTGAAGTCTTGATTCAACCTACAACTTTAAAAATTTTAGTATTCAATGTTTTTGAATTCATTATTACTATTATTATTAGACTGCACTAATGACGACTAATTTTATCTGTTCTACCGCCTCTCCCCAGTCTCCAGCAATACATTGATAGGTGCATAATAAATAAAATCTTCACAAGTAAGGGGTAGGTATAAATGCAATGATATTAAAGACAATCCTAAAAACCTACCATCGAATTTAAGAAATAAAATATATTTGTGACCTTTCTGTGTATTCTTCGTGAGAAAATTTGAGAATCCAAGTATGTATTTTCGCCTTTGAAGAGTTTGAGTTGAGCATCAAAATAGCTAGGCGATCACAGATAGCCCAAGCTAGGCATTTGTGTACTTTTTAGAAATATTTAAAATATAACAAAAAATAAACATCTTTACCTGTGTATTGTGTTTTTCTTTACATTTCTGTGAAGTTTCAGGCCATTTACTTCAATTTTGAGCGATTTATGCCTTTTGTTTGCTTCAAAAAACTGGACATCGTGCATAACTTATTTAGTTAATGAAAAATCTACCGCCAAATTTGGCGCATAGTATGTGATACATCTATAGTTCTGAAAAAATACTTGTGTAAAAATGGCTTTAAGAATATTGTATGCTGTGGCTTTGATTAATTTTATGAAGTCTATTGAAGTAAAAGCTATTGTTGAAGAGTCCCAGGATTTCGGAGAGCAAAATCCGAGAAATTCTTTTAAAGCTTTTTGCCTTTCTAATGACCGATAAACCTATACATTCTTAAAAACAATACCGTATTTGTGCTCTTTTTCAGCCTCTTCATTTGTAACATATCAAAAGATCTAATCTAAGACATCTAAGCAAATGTCACCCGATGTATGGCAATAAGTTTGATATGAATAAATTACGCTCTTCCCCTCACCCCGTGAATTTATTAGTCGGACTAGCCGAAGATGGTCCGACTTTAAATTTACCTTTTAGCCAATCAATCAATCTATCTATGTATTATGTCGCGTTTGGACCACCGGAAGATAAGAATTTAATAATTAACTATTGGGTTGGCTGTGTTATTACATGACCGGAAGCTCAAGCGTATTGATGTACGAATACCGTTAGTAAATGTTATATGCTACTTGGCTTTTATATGACAAAAAATCTATTCGTTTACAAATGTGGTGTCTGTGATCTCATCGGAATGCATCTGTCTAGGCATTAGAAATACGCGCATGTGCAGATCGCATAGAGTTTCGAGTTGTATGCTTACAAAACTGAATCAATATCCTTTCAACAAGGGGCCGTTTGGCGTGCGCATGCGCCAGTHTGTTGAWAATTCATTGAAATTCATTAGTGATTCACTTCAAGCGAGAAATTACAACGACAYRAAGGACAATTTCCAAAAATGTTTTTGGCTGTTTTTGACCCTGAAATGTTCTGTCATGACTCAAGAACACCCATAAATAGTGTAACCTACAACGAGGAAAAACACTGGCGTCATTGGACTGATTGGGACCGTTTAAAATCTTATTTAAGAAATGTTGATATTAATGACTTTGTGTTAATTTTACAATATGGAGGCTTCAGTGGTTTATATACGCAACTACTATTCCAGTTTTTGCTGAGTGATGGTCAAGATTCAACGCAGGTTATGAAGTAAATGGTAAATGTACACATGTAGTAATATAATTAGGCATCGTTTAGTAACATCGACCTCGAAATGTTCGAAAGACAGTTTCTTGAAGTGTACAATATTTACGCTTAAATATTATTAACTGTTACATGAAATACTACTTTCCTTTTATATACCACCAGGACTCATTAGAATAAGGCTACCAATATCAAGACTTATGCTTTGCAAATAGTTTGATAATGTTTTCTTGTCTATGAAAAATGTGGAACGGTGTTATTTCTGCAAATTCTTACGTGCTGTTGAGCACTCACGACAGATTTAGCGCTCTTTTGGCTGAAGAGTTGAGCTTGTTTGAATCAAGTTATCATAAATATCTATGTGTAGTTCTATAGCTGTATCATTATAAGTTATGAAATAAACTATTGCAGTGCAATCGATTCACATCTTAGGAATTTATTATTGCTAAAAGTGTGCACAAATAATTCACTACATTTTAACGGTACAAAGTGGCTTCGTGTTATAAATCTAGCCCGTGACTCACAGTAATTTATATAATGTTTGAAAGATATTCGTGTGCATTGTAAATATATCTACTTGGTTTTGTTTGGAAAAATGTGGAAGATAAGTAAAAACTTCAATTATGTTCAGAATCCAAGCTTCCGCAGCTGACTACAATGTTATTCTACAAGTATTCTAGAGCCCATGGTCGTTATAACGCAGCGGTTGCGCGCATGCTCATGCATAACGGCCCCTTGTTTATCCTTTCTAGTGTTAGACAGTCTTTGGGTGATTGATTTGCGACCAGGCCTGCATATGAATTCGCCAAGGTTGTAAGCCAGTGAGCCCGTGCATTTTTGTTAAGCGGTCATATTTGAAAGTGTAAATAAAGAAAGGAAAAACCCCGCATCTCGCCTTTCACTCAGATAAACAGTACAAGTCGTGTAATTCATTTACATAACTAAACAAAATGATTATAGAATGAAACCTTTAAGAATTGAATGCTCATATGAAACATTTTCCACCTTAAATACACACGTGTTTTTCAGAAGGGAATTTAGTCGAACTTTTTTCACGATGTCCACGATGGAATTTTGTTTTGAGTCGTTTCGACATAAACAGTCGCTATCAAGACATTACACGAAAAACCCCARTCACCGTTCTAGCTCTCGTTGTACACTAGAGCTAGTAAATGTGTAACTGGCCTGTTACATAACGTCAAATCGTCGAGCACGCTTGCGGCTTATTGCCGAAAATGCGACAAAGAATAAACTACGACCGTTGTTTGTACCAAAAATAACAAACGCATAACTCTATTGGAATACGTGGACCTAAGCTGCTCTAGCTCTTCCATTGATGTTGTAGATACCTCAAAGCTTAGAGGAAACAAGAGCCAAGAAAAATGATTTGCAATGGTTCCTCCTAAGATACATTGGACTTCAACGACCTTCTGAAGTCTTCGTGAAGTCGGTCATTGCTTCGCATGCAATGGAGAACCCGCGTAGAACACAGAACAATTATTTCTATCAGGGAGGGGAGYCTGGCCCTCGTGGTATTAAAGAAAAAGTTATTTGTTATTTCATTTTTAAGATAAAATTCTCTTTCTATAACGATAGATATTTGATTGACATTTAAAAGCTATTTTATAAAGATTTTCAATTTCTCTTTGCGTTTTCTTCGATTTTTCGGATAGAATAAAATGACAGGCAGCCTACTCCACTGGGTCGAGTTTTGCTGTGCAAATTCCTCCCGTCCGGGGGTTATGTTTACAACATAAGCTTGTCAGCTTTGCACTGATTGGCTAGTCGCATTTTCTCAAATCACCCAGCTTGTGTGGGCAAAGATTTCAAATTAGAACAAGAAGAAACTTTGTTTATCAATAGCAGAAAGGCGAATTTAATGATTTTATAGGCATCTTTTTCCTTGTGAAGTTTTTATTTTCTTTGCCTAAGAGGTCAACGTTTTAAATATCATGACATCACTTAGCGAGACATTTGTCTAGCGTATATTTGATTTTATCAGTCAAAGCAAGCCACGTTCTTATCGCGTTAATTACATGACCTTTTAGGTCAAGTTTATTTAAAGACTCAATAAATTTTGCATATTTTGAACTAGACGCTCTTATTAGACCGTGAGTYTGGCTGTTTTGGAAAAAAAAGTTAAGAAATATTTTTATCCATGTAATATCCTGTCTTTCTCAATTTTCACAAGCAGCTAGTCCGACTTCACGCTCCCAGAGCGTCTAGTTTATTTATTGTTCGTGTAGAAAGAGTTGTCGCAAATCGTGGCACGCTTTTCTTGAGAAGTTTTCCACTTCAATAAGTACTTTGCCAAAAAGCGCAGAATCTGACATCGTTGATTTTTCAGTTTCCAATTAAAGTTCTAATTAATTTTAGACGTTATCCCCCCCTCTTTGAGCACATAAAATTAGATTCCTACTCCTTCTCGATTCTCTACTCCCACGTACTCCTGATAAATATTGCGCAGTCCATAAAAGCGGGAAGAGGGTCTCGAAGTTGAATAAAGCTGAACAAATTCTCAGTTATTTTGTCAAAATAAAGTAAAAGACGTCATTTGGAAATATTTCAATTAATAAATTTTTATTATTTTTAATTTTTGCTAGTATTTTTATTATTTTCATTTTAAAGAGTCACTTTAATTTTATTAACTGGGTGATTTGAGAAAATGCGACTAGCCAATCAGCGCAAAGCTGCCAAGCTTATGTTGTAAACATAACCCCCCGACGGGAGGAATTTGCACAGCAAAACTCGACCCAGTGGAGTAGGCTGCCTGTCATTTTATTCTATCCGAAAAATCGAAGCTAAAACGCAAAGAGAAATTGAAAATCTTTATAAAATAGCTTTTAAATGTCAATCAAATATTTATCGTTATAGAAAGAGAATTTTATCTTAAAAATGAAAAAAACAAATAACTTTTTCTTTCATACCACGAGACTCCCCTCCCTGATAGAAATAATTGTTCTGTGTTCTACGCGGGTTCTCCATTGCATGCGAAGCAATGACCGACTTCACGAAGACTTCAGAAGGTCGTTGAAGCGACGTTCAAGTCCAATGTATCTTAGGAGGAACCATTGCAAATCATTTTTCTTAGCTTTTGTTTCCTCTAAGCTTTGAGGTATCTACAACATGTCCAACATCAATGGAAGAGCTAGAGCAGCTTAGGTCCACGTATTCCAATAGCGTTTGTTATTTTTGGTACAAACAACGGTAGTAGTTCATTCTTTGTCGCATTTTCGGCAATAAGCCGCAAGCGTGCTCGACGATTTGACGTTATGTAACAGGCCAGTTACACATTTACTAGCTCTGTACAACGAGAGCTAGAACGGTGATTGGGGTTTTTCGTAATGTCTTGATAGCGACTGTTTATGTCGAGACGACTCAAAACAAAATTCCATCGTGAATAAAGTTCGACTAAATTCCCTTCTGAAAAACACGTGTGTATTTAAGGTGGAAAATGTTTCATATGAGCATTCAATTCTTAAAGGTTTTATTCTATAATCATTTTGTTTAGTTATGTAAATATATTTAACACGACTTGTACTGTTTATCTGAGTGAAAGGCGAGATGCGGGTTTTTCCTTTCTTTATTTACACTTTCAAATATGACCGCTTAACAAAAATGCACGGGCTCACTGGCTTACAACCTTGGCGAATTCATATGCAGGCCTGGTCGCAAATCAATCACCCAGCTAATTAATTATAAATTATTAATAAAAGTGACTCTTTAAAATGAAAATAAAAAAAAACGATATATTGTTCCTACTCACCTTCACATTTGTTGCAAGTAAAACGACAGTACATCAGACTAAGTTTTTGATCTTTTTTACAATCGTTGCTTCCTTTGATGATTTTGCAGCTATGCTTTGAAAGGACGTCGTTGCAATCTATTAAAGGATAAGAACATAAACTTTTACAGTAAATGAACAGGATGTGTTATTAAGCCATACTGATAGCCAATCAATGCTTGCCTTGTTTTAAAAAAGAATAAATTAACATGATTAAGAAATTTTAATTTAAACAATAACTGATTCGAGAAAACATGTGAAAATCTGCACCAGAAATGTTGTCTAAAAAGCGAGAACCACTTTAAATTTAATCTAGGTTCATCAAGGTGATCACTAAAGTGTAAGTGAGAAAGACTAGAGAAAGAACGTGAAAGAGAAAGAAACGCTACTTACGGAAAGTCGTGAGGCAAAGCTTTCTCAACTTTATGTTTCTGGTCAAGAAACCCTTGGTTTTCAAGTATCGACAACTCATGGTACTTAATATGTCCTTTCTCACAGCACCACGTTTTGCAACAGTTTCTTGTGGATCTGAAACGAATATCGTAAACGAGAGACTTTTTATATTGTATCATAACTTTTGAATAGATACAATCGACACCTAAGAAAGCGACCAAAATCTACTGCTGTAATTATGTGCATTCAGATCTCCATCGCCAGATCCTCGAGGATTTGTCATTCATATCAGAACTACTAAAAACTTGTTCATTTGAACAGGATGGCGTCAAAAGGGATAGGAAATCAATTAAAAAGGTTTATTTACATTCAAATGCTAAAGCACTACGTCATATGACATTAAAAAAGAACCGTTAAAAGTGCAATTGGGGATGTAAATGAAGGTTTATAAGTTAGATTGTTTTGTTTTTATCAATTCCCTATTTTTGAACAATTATATATTGAAGTGCCTATGACGGCTGACATAATAATAACTGATCCAATAATAATTGATTTTCTATGAGCTGATTCTTCATAAAGCAAATAATTGAATGGTGAATTCTATCATTTCACTGCTTCATCTCTGAGGTTGAGAGTTCTTAGTCCGCCGGTAGCTCAGAATAAAAACTTAAATTACATTTAAAACCTTAAAATGAACAATGGATATATTTCATCTTTTTCAATGATTCCTTTTTTTATACCTTGAAAAAAGTTTCCTTCCTTTGTCGTTGCAACCACCACCCCGAACAGAACAGCATATATCATCAGCGTTTTCATATCTGCAGAGGCTTAAAGAAGTTCAGTAGATCTTGATCATCAGACAGCTAAAACAGCAATTGAGCATGAGGCGGTTTAGAGATATTACTAAAGCATCTTAAARCAATAGTAAGCGTGGTCGAAAGCGGATGTTCCTATTTTTAGGGTAACAAATAAATAATACTTGTTAAAACTTGTTCGTTTGTAGAGGGACGCGTACGCTTAAGCCCCTATGGGCTAATACAATAATGTTTTGCCGAATAACACGGCTTCCAAATTCTCAATTATTCAAAGTGTATTGTCTGCTTTTTCAATTAATTTGAGCTGAATAAACTGCTTCGCARCTTCCTTTTTTAACTTCTATGAACGCACTTCTTGTCATTAGGGTTATCGAAAAACTATAATTGTAGATAGTCCAGAACTGGAGCYGCTTTACTGATAAATTGAAGTGCACACTCGGCAAGAGTTAGTTGATTCAAATATTGTTTTTTAAAATYCCTCGCGCTCAGGGATAAAGGAGGCGTCCAGTTCTGGACTATAAAGCAATYGAAAGCTTGGACATTTTTGCTGTGATAGTTGTCCGCGAAAACAAGTAGTCACCCGAGAATTCGAGGGCGACTATGATGTTTTGAGGAATATCCAGTTGCCAAGGGCAAACTATCAAAGCAAAATACCCAAGATATCAACTGCTCTATTGATTTTATTATTCAACAACAATTTTTTTCTTAATCGGCGGGCTCTATGCTTTGATAGTTGCCCGATGAAACTGTGGATGTTGCGAAAAACAAATAGTCGCCCGAGAGTACAGTTCTAGGACCTTCTAGGGCAACTATGAAGTTTTGAGGAGCAACCAGTTGCCAAGGGCAACTATCACAGCATGAGACTTGAGATTTCAACTGATTTATTCAGTCCGAAAGTCCGCCATCTCGAACATCTCCAATTTCCCTGTATATCGTCAAGATTTTGTGCACAAATGTCTATCCAACAGGCAGTACTTGGAAGAAGTTTTTGGGGGAATGTGGACGACATGCATGAAAACAATTCTCCATCGAAGATCAGAGCTAAACTTACGAGGCAAGAAACAAACAACATGGCGGACTTTCGGACTTGGTTCGGTTTTGTGGGAGGAGTCACGAAAGCAGTTCGTTTACTTCGGAATTTTGATTGACGGGAGCAAAAACACCAAATGGCCGTTAAAGTTCCCAGAGCTAAAGTTCGCAGAAAACGGAAAACCGCAGTAATCAATCATATTTTTTTTTAATTATTTTGATTTAAAAATGTCTTCTTTGTACATAGAGTTTTTGCATTACAATAGCCTGAGGGTCTCTGCTGAATAAAATAATACATTTCATGCTTTAGAGGTTAAGGCTGCACAAATAAGATCTCGAAACTGGAGTGTTGCCACGGAAACCTTTTGAAAACAAAATCAAAATCAAACTTCCTTCTTTCGCTCTCTGGTTCTCGCCTTTACTGGACAAATCTAATTTTTTAAAATTTATTTTTTAACTAAATCCACAGACAGTGCTATACCCTACATCTTGTTCTTTTCGGATTCCCTCGGTCATGTGTGGAAGGAAGAAAACCCACTAGAGTATTCAGTTRAGCAGAGAGAAAGAGTGACTCACGTGCAGACGGCTACACTTTTTTTATGTATCTTGTATGTAATGTAATCCTTTACCGAAATAATGCGATCTTCAGTTTCAGAGTATGGGAAATCAGAAAAATGTGAGCCGCAGTCATGCTCCTTTTTGTTTTCAGTCTCCGCGTTACATGTGCCATGGGTATTCAGTCATTAGTTGGTATTCTTTGATCTGAAACGCAACACATTACTAATAATACACGAATAGATTCACTGGAAGAAATGTTATTTATTACGTATCATTTTATTCTGCATAAATTCACGAAGTCCTTTACAATTATCAAGTTATTTAATGGTGTCATATCATCAACAAGCTTTGATCCATATTTGATCCTGGTAATTTTGCGGCTTGGTGTTAGCAATCCCCAACCTTCGAGAAAGTCGGTGAATGTACACATTTTAACTTGTGATTTTGAAACTCATTGAATATTTATGAGCCTTACTGATGACGTCTTTTGGCAATGTTATGCATAAACGACTCGAAGGTGCTTCAGGTCGAGCCACCCCCTCCTACCCAACCCTACCTGCCTACTCATTGGCTTTATTCCGCCGAGACCAGCTATTTGTAACGGATGACGCCATCCCTTAATGCTATAAATGAGTAAGTAGGAGGGATATATTCATGTACTGTTTTAATGGGACCATCAACGGAAAGTCGGAGGAATTAACGAATAAATCAAAGGAAATGATCTGTTTAGCCACTCTTTGGGCCGTGTAATGACATGTTAGCTCTCAGTTTGAGGGTCGGAAGGGGGGAATGGAGGGTAGGGTAGGGTAGGAGTTCAATTGACTGTGATGCGCAATTATTTTAATAATTAAAATTAATTAAAATTAAAATTGAAATTAATTAAAATTAATTAAAATACGTGTTGATCGCAAATTTTAAAGTTGTGCAACTGAATTAATCAAATTCTAGGATAATTTATCCTATTAAAATAGTAACTTGCCGCAAAAAGATTTTGAATTGGATAAATTCGCGATATTTATCGTTAAGTTATTTTGAATTTCCCGCCAGTTTGAAAAAATGCTCTCTCTTTGAAATGAGGGGCCTGGTACGAATATTACGTCTACTAAGGAATCGTCACTCACATTTCAAAGTAAATGGTGGAGATTCTAAGCCTAAGGTATTTATTCCTGATATAAACTCTTTGAATTATAAGCCAACTTTCAACAACTCTTAGTTGAAATTTCAACCGATGTGAGAACGTCATACTAATCTCGACTTAGRCCCCCATGATAGTTCGCGGCCATTTTGGAATTATCGAAAATTTCATAACTTCGATTCAACGTTTATCGTSAAGACACACACAAAAAGGACATTTTTCTCGATGCTGATTTTCCTCAAATTGAGTTCGGTTTCACTTTAACTTCAAACATTCGCGCATATTAGCTATAGATTCAGTGTATCTGAGGAATCAAGAAGTTACTTTTTTTCTGAAGGACTGCTTGACAATACTTAAATGTGTTAAAACTTTCTTTATTTAGCATTTTTATGTAAGCTTATCTTGCTGGGCTTCTTTGCTTGTCTTTAAAAAGAGAAAAAATCAGGTGAAAAAATAAATAAATTAATATTAGTTTATAAGTAGTACATTGTTGACTTTGCAACTTAGATCTGTTTTCTTACAATCATACCAATCGCCCAAAACCGCGTCTTTGAATTGTTCTAGTTTCCTCTAGCGGGTCTCAAATAAGACCATACTATACTTGATTGTTTGGTAGAGCCTTGAAAGCATTGGCACATATTTGACGACAGGAGTTATAATGATGCAGGCTGATAGGGTTATTTATAGTGCAGGCCAACTTTGTGATAGACTTAAAGTAGCCGCACCTCTGAGCGATAACGACTTTTTTACGATTTTAGCAAAATATTGCACAAATTCATCCAAAATGTAAAAGCGATTTTTGCCAAATTTTGAGTAACTCACTCACTGCTTTAGATAAAACTCTGAAGAAGGTTTTTGGTGGGAGATATTCCGAAGTAGTGATGCGGTCGACAGAAGGTATAGGAGTTTTTTAAGTTGCCCACAATTCACCCACAACATATAACATTGCTTTACTCACTTTTACACAACTGTTATCATTCTAATTCCTAGCAATATGAATCAAACTTGGATGATACTAATATGGTCTTACTCACCTCCACACTTGTTGCATGTCAAACGACAGTACGTCAGACTAAGTTTTTGKTCTTTCTTGCATTCGTTTCTTGCTTTGATGACTTTACAACTTTTATTGGAAAGGAGATCTTTGCAATCTAAAGAAAGAATAATAAAATAAAAATGCATCTCAAGTGGATGCTTACGATTATAGAGACGCATATTGGCAACCTATGAAACAGAAAAAAACTAGTGTATGTTATGATCCATGCTGTCAAAGACGCTCTGAAGCGTCACAAACATTACATCTCTACTTACGTAAAGTCGCGAGACAAAGTTTTTTCAACTTCGCGTTTGCGGTCAAGAATCCGTTAGTCTTCAAGTAGTGACAGCTACAGCTCTCGACAAAATGTTTGTGAACATCCCCACTCCCCTGTTACAAAGTTGAGATTCTCAAAAAGAATCCCTGGCTGACACGATGAGAACCAGCCAGTTTGAAACAGGGGTGGGGGGATAATATCGCAGCTAGAAGTTCGAATATTTTTGTCGAGAGCTGTAGGTCATAATGGAAATTAGGCTACTCAAGCAGTTGATGCAGTTATTGGCACAAATGAGATTGCTCACTTTTTCTTGAATGAACGGCAAAATGTGTAATATGAAAAATGTATATAGCAATATAATTGCAATGCCAACCGTTTATTAAAACAGATAAAAATCAAATCTTTTGTTGACGGCTTCGATATTTTATTTTATTCGTACATTGCGTTTTCTAGCCCTCGCATTTACTTCTCATTTTTATAAGCATCCTCTGCAGTAAGCTCTACGTAWWTTTTTTCCTTTCAGACYTCTTCGGTCATGAGTGGAGGACAGGAAGCCCAAAAGAGTTCATAGTATTSAAATCGCAGGTGTCCGCAGACCAGGTAATGTTGCGGTTTTATGTTCTGCGCATGCTTTGTTTCTTGTGTTTCCTCGCCATAAATTAAGCCTGGTTTTGACCAGAACATATTCATAAGACGAGAATAAAACTAGCCTGTGTCCGACCGAAATTTTCTCAAGTTCAGTCTGCGAATCAGAGCAACGAACCGTGTTCGAGCCCCCCCGCGAACTACGCGATTATATAAAATAGATTCTGATTGGCCATTTGCTCTTTCTTACACTAAATCTCATTGGAGGATTCAAAACCGGATGTAAATCTAACGGAAGTTTTTTGTCGCATGAAATGGCGAAAAACTCATCAGACAATCTAAAGAAATTGTTAATTTGTAAAATTGCTAKGAATTTGTAAGATAACTAAAGAGTAAAACTTCTATATCAACGTGACATAAGTTTTATTGATAAACAAGAGACAAAAACCAAACGCAGAATTCCTGATTCAGTTATCATTGAATTCAGTTTTTCAATTTATTATAACAATGAAAAAGACAAATGCGAGGAAGGTCAACCTTGCTTTCATCGCCAATACTCGGTGAATTGCCCTAGTTCATTATGACGTCACATCAAAACATTCTATTGTCTTAACCTGTTAACGCTAAGGATTATGTTCATGTATGTTCGCCAGAGGGGATCAGACTGACTGTATATCAAATAAAATGTACATGAGCAATCATYTATACATGATATATATCAAAACGCGATAGAGTCATCACACTTGCACCGTGAAACAAAATCAAAGAAGTAGTAACTATTAGTTTTTATTTACTGACTATTTGTATGAAATGTAGATATTCACTGAACCAAAACAATTCTTAAAAAMAAAAGGTAATACACAAGAGACTTGGAAGCCAAACAACRTTATTAAAAGCTACCTAATGAAGAAGGAGGAATTTGTTAAAAAATGTCCCACCCACAATTAAGGAAAGAAATAAAGAGCTGCTGGTTTAGTTCTTTGTTAAACTCAGAGGAAAGATGTCGGGAAGGGCTAGAGCTTGTGTTAAATGTAGGCTTCATGGAAATCGWGTTTATTGAAAGGACAAAAAGAGTTGATTATAGGGTGAAAGTGAAATAGATAGCTATAGTAACTAACTTTATAACTGTTACGAGTGCTGCTTGAAATAATGATTTGGTAACTAATGTCCCATGCTCAAAAGGTACGTATCTCACAAACATTTCCGAAATGATTAATAAAATTTATTGTGTTTTATTTTGAGCTTCAAGCAAAGGATAAATATAAAACGTCGCCGCTGGTTGTTGTCAAGTCGCTTTTTTATATTGACTAGTCAAATAACTCAGCTTTGAGCGATAGAATTCGTTCGAAACCACGTTGTTTATAGATTTTTGCAGGTCATTTCAGTGCGTCTTGTCTTGATATTTAGTTTAGGCTCTTATAATAAACTCGTTAGAAAACACGTTCATTTGCGTACTGGGTTTGATATTGTTACAGTATTTTCAATTTAGCCTTACAATGTCTTCTATCTTAATTTTGCTGCGGCGCAGAGAATAAAGATTCCAAACGCGTTTCATTTAGTCTTGTGTGGTTATTTTAGCTTTAGATTTGTCTTGCGTCTTGATTCTACAGCAGCGCAAATAAATAAAGATTCGTTAAACGCGCTCCCTAGTGTATTGTGTGGTTATTTTAGATCTAGATGCGTCTTTTGTCTTGATTGTACATGAAATAAAGATGGCAGTTGTCAAGTCTCCTGTGTATTGCCTTTGTTTTCATGAACTGTGTTCTGGTTCAGTAATATCTACTATTAGTCAATAAATAGACACTAATATTTACTGTTTATTTTGATCATATTTCACGGTGCAAGTGTTATGACTCTATAATGAAGATCTACTTGAGAAGACAACATAAAGGACTGTGCAATAATTACCAGGAAGGGGGGGGGGAGGGCGTAAAACCAGATTTCTTAAGCAGAAAATTAGTTAGAACCCCCCCCTCCGAAGCACAAGAAAAGAGCTCTTCAATTTTCAAAATTTGAAGGAAATAACTCTTGGAAATGCGATTTCAAGCATTTTGAGAGACATCGAAAATTATGAAAATTTTGATTGAAACTTCAGGCCCCCCCTCTGTTAATTAGGTAATTTTACTTTGAGCCCCCTATCTTGGCATCAATTTTATGTAATGACCCCCCTCTGGTTTTACGGCTCCCCCTCCTGGTAATTATTGCACAGTCCCTAAATGGGTTCAGATTTCACCTATTTTTGAGCATCGTTTCCCGATGTAATTATACTGTGACGTCATAATGAAATAGGGCAATTGTTTTTATCACATTCACTTTATTCGACGCAAGAGCGCTGGACGTAGTATTCGTCCTTAATATTTACTGACAATGACGTGTTTATATCATATTCTGATCATCATTTTAACTTGGATAAGATTATATATCTTTACTTGTCTTGGCAGCCACTTTGTGCTTTTAATTTCTTAAAAAAGAGAAAAAAGCAATGAGAAAAATGAAATAGTGAAACATTTGATCTGGCATTCCTATAATTTGTAAATATGAATCTGTTGTACATGAAATAAATGTACAAAAGAATACCTCATTTGCATCCGTAGAGCTCCATTCTCATTGAAGGCGAGCTATGCCATGTCTTTGGGAGGACTTTGACGAACCTCGCTCTGATTGGAGGGTTTAGGTCATGCTTCACAACAGTATTTTTATCAGTGTTTCCTTTGAAGACCTTGCCTGCTTGATAATTCTTGAAGGTATTGCCATCTAAACTGTACTGCAGSCTGTAGCTTTTCATCCACTCGGATACGCGCTTTGAACCCTGTGTTGCGATGGCCGTTACAGTGTAAACTGTGCTCAGGTCGACCTGCAACCACGAACCTGCGAGTTTCAGTGTTTTAGCAGTCCAGCCATAACTATTCATGTGTAATCTCGCTTGAGATGGAAGGGTATGTTTTCCATAGGACGACGAGGCGGTGATCCTAGAGTCGGGAATGGCCTTGCTCTGCATTCCAAGGGTTTGGCTTTTTGCGCACTGCTTTACTGTAAACCAAAATTAAATTAAGTTAAATTATAAAAGTTAAATTTTGTCCAAATAAAGTAAAATGACGTCATTTGAAAATATTCCAATTAATCGGAAATTAGATAAGAGCGTTTTAATCAAAGTAACGCATTAAAATGAAAATATTAAAACGATATATTGTTCCTACTCACCTTCACATTTGTTGCAAGTAAAACGACAGTACGTAAGACTAAGGTTTTGATCTTTTTTACATTCATTTCTTCCTTTGATGATTTTGCAGCTTTGCTTTGAAAGGACGTCGTTGCAATCTATCAAGGATAAAAACATAAGCTTTCGCAGTAAACAAACACAATGGGTTATCAAGCCATACTGATAGCAGGCTTTGAGGGCCAATCGCGTTGAAAAAGAGTGAAAGAACTCGAAAGAGAAGGAAACGCTACTTACGGAAAGTCGTGAGGCAAAGCTTTCTCAACTTTGTGCTTGTGGTCAAGAAACCCTTGGTTTTCAAGTATCGACAACTAATGGTACTCAAGATGTCCTTGCTCGAAGAACCACGTTTTGCAACACTTTCTTGTGGATCTGAAGCAAATATCGCAAGCATAAGAGTTATTATATTGTTATTATATTATATTGGCATAATTGTTTTTTGAATAGATACAATAGATATATCTAAGAAAGCAACGAAACTCTGAATCAATCAAGGTAGTATGTATTGTGTTACTGTATTTTGTGAATCAAGGCCTCCATCGACAGATCCCTCGCCGATATAACTAGTAAAAAGTGACTTTTTGAGCCTCGTGCAAGTAACCTCAACCATAAAACATAATTTAATTTACATCTATCGTCAATTAAGAAGCGTAGCTCAGGGAAGCTGCAGACCTGTTTGTAAGTTTTATTATGCCTTTCTGAATGCACTACCTTGAAAATATTCTTCCTCTTTTGTCGCGACGGTTACAACGAACAAAAACGCCATGGCTATCAACGTTTTCATGATTGAAGGCTTCATCAAGAGAGTCGTATCAAACTAGAAAGGCTCAGATATTTAACAATATCGAACAGCAATATTAACGCGTGGTCCAAAGCTGATCGATACTTAGGTTGAAAAATAAACAAACTCTTGTTAAAACTTGTTCGTTCGTACAGGATGTCGTAAAAAGGGATAGTCAATCAATTAAGAAGCTTTATTTACATTAAAATGCACTAGCGATGTCACATTAAGGTCAGTTTACACTTGCGATTTTATGCAGCGAGATTGTCGCGCGACCATCGCCTTTCGACATGCTTGAGAATTGGCTGCTACTTGGAGGCGATTTTTCATCGTCGAAACAATCGTTGGGCTGTTTATAAGTGCGATTTTAGTTGCGGGACGGCAAACTGGCGATTATCGCACTGCAAAAATCGCAAGTGTAAACCGGCCTTTATAATAACCCTGCGAGCAGAAGATTTTAACTGTTCCGGTCAGGATGCATAATAATGAAAAAGAATCATTTCACTAATTTTAAAAATTTTCCAAAAAAGTGTATTTGGGTAATTGAATGAAAGTTTTTTTAAGTCATTTTTTTAATTTTTTCAATA